CTGGTACCAAACGCTCACCAACTGGTCCTGCAATTCCCTCACATTGCGAGGGGGTAGCGTGACAACACGAATTGGTTTTCCAAGTAGGACCACAAATGCTCTATTGGATTAAGGTCAGGTGAATTTGGGGGCCAAGGCATGACTAAAAGTCACTGGAATGTTCCTCGGACTAATACATGACGATTCGACCCTTATGACATGGTGCATTATCCTGCTGGTAAACACCATCCCCCGCAGGAAAAACTGTTGCCATGAATGGGTGAACCTGGTCTGCAACTATGTTCAAGTAGCGTGCACACGTCAGGGATTGTCCTATGAGGATTATGGGTCCTAATATGCCCCATGAAAACATTGTTCCTGGGTGAGAAACCATGCAAATCTGGGCGAAACCATTGTTATAGATGGAGGGTGGTCATAATGTAATGGCTCTTCGGTGTAAGTTTTGCGAATGCTAAATTTGTAGAGTCCAAAAATGGCACATATTCGTATATGTGGATAGCATAAACTCACCATATTTTTACTAGGGCTAAATTAATTATTACTTAGTTTCAGTTGTGGGTACAAATTGAAAACAAAATAAGTGTTGCTCTAAATGCTAAAGTATTATCGAATAGAAATACTATTTCGTATATGAAGACTGTATAAAATTATTTAAGGTTAGGTTTTAAAAAGTGTTTAGACAAAATTAAATAATTTAAGGCCAATGATGAAAAAAGGTTATATGTTAAAAAACAGAATTATTAAAGAAATAGCTATAAACCTTTTGAGAGAAACATGAAAATCACCATACTACTATAGACGCGAACGCTGTTTATTTAATTTAGATAAGAAATACAAACTGAAATAAAAAAAAATAATCTATGTACCGAAAAGAAAACTCAATGATTTAGAATGTGCTTATTCTTTTAAGGAAATCTTAAAAAAAATCTAATTTCATTATTGGCATCAATAATGAAATGATGCAAATTAATCAATGGAATCAATGATGCAAATTAATTTTGAAAATAGGTAATTTTGAAACAGAAGGAAGCGATGAACTTGAAGAGGCATATCGTCAAACGCATATTCAGCATTTCTAAACTATTTTCATTATTATAACGTTGATTCTTACATTTTAAATTTGCTTTTTGATGTTGTTCTTTTATTTTATCTTTGCGTATTTGCATCTTAAATATTTGATGCCGCATTCAACCTAAACGAGTCATGTATAAATTGTAAACAAATGTAAATAGTAACTATTTAATGTGGTTATTCTTCAAACCATTCATTTCTTCTCAAGCTGAAATTAATGAAGAAATGGTACCAAGTTATTTAGGAGAAGCGTAAAAAATAGCCATGCTATTTTTGACACCAATGATACTTAATTTATCTTGGTAATAGGCACTAATGATATTGTGGTAATCGGTGCAGTTTTAATAGGCACACTGTAATACTTTTTCATATATCTGAATACCGAAAACAGCGGCACTACTTTTAACCAAATTGGTGCCGCGTTAGTGTTTCACTATGCCGAAATCCCGGTACTTGAGACACTTAGAATATTTTTTTTCCAGTGTTTGGTGTAAAGTAGCCTGCCAGCAACTAAAAATTATACATTATAAAATTATATGAAAATAATTATTGAAAACAGATGTGAACACTCACCAACTTGTTTAACAATTACGGACGAAAATAAAATGAGTCAAATTAGGAATTTTTGGAAGCGAAAATATTTATAATATGGTGTAAAAGTGAGCGATATTAGTATAAGGTTTGGCATTTTCAGTGTTTAGAGCATTCACGCACACTTTGTATTTGAAAGAAATTGAAAAATGTTTTGCTTTACGATTTACGATGCAAATTTTTGGTTGATCAACATGAAATTCGGAGAGATATTGTCCCACAGTTTTTAATGTTTGCCGAATATACTGATACAAATACAGTTAGTATATTTAGAATATATAAAAACTCTGTCAGCACTGTGCACTTGAATTTCTGAAAAATGTGCTCCCTTATTGATGTTGAATTTCGTCTTTCATTATCCTCTAAAAGATATGAAGCAAGTGAGGTAATAGTATAAAACCTTTTAAATAGCTAAAGGTGTTTTACAGGATCAGTTTGATCTCAGTTTTTTGAAAATTGCATTCAAATTTATAAAAACAGCAGTTTTTCAAAAGTATGACAAGATGTTTGAAATATTTCCTCTTGTCTTAATGATATCTGCATTTCACTATTTTTTCTGCAGCTTTTATTCTGTATTTTTTTCTCTCCCTCGGACTCTATTGTGATACACTAATCAGTAATTTTATGGAACCACTGTTTAGCTTGAAAAGCGAGTTTTGTTAATAAAAATGTATGGTACATGAACGCTATAATTACATATTTTTGCAGAGTGAAGTTATTGTGATTAATAGGTAAATGATAATATATACTTAGATTATTATCCTATAGTATGATCAAAATAATATTTTTTTTTAAAAATTATTAAATTTTTATGGTTATATCAAAATAAAGAAATGCAAAAATTAGAAAAAAATAGTTTTTTTTAAATAAAAACATATTTGTGAATGTCACTAAATATAAAAAAAATTCTCGCATTTAGTTTTTTTTTTTAAATTTAAGTTGAAATTGGCATTTGTTATTCGATATCTTGTTTTCTTTTCGATTTTAAGATGTTATTCACATCTTAAAATCGAAAGCAATCGAAAGCTTAAAATCAAGCACTGTAAAAAATAAGCTTCGATTGAAAACTAGTTTCAATAATTTTTTGGGGTAATTTTGAAAGTATAAAAAGGAAAATTAAATAAAAGTAAAATCGAAAATCATTTTACTACTTTGATACTTCTCTCTTAAGACGCTATATTTTTAGAAAGAAAACACAAAGAGGATTATTTTTCCACAGAAAAGTTTGACGTTCGTAATCCTAAGCCGACTCAGGTTTCTAAAACCTTCTCCAGGCGACGAGAAATAAAACTCTGGAAAGAAAGCATGAAAAAAGTTATTTTATTTTGTTGCAACTCAATAAAATAGTATATATGCTATTAGATAAAAAGTAATGAAGCACAACTTTTAGTAATTCAATTTTTTCCATATAGTATTGCTATTGAAGCAAAAGTTTTTGTCGAAGAAAAGAGTTCAAAAACAATTTCTTTTATATTCAAATAAAAATGTTTCTACAAAGAAATTTCTCTATCACAATGCGTTGTAGTATTAAGTATGTGTGGGAAAATGAGTTAAAAATATGAATACTGAAAGTAGATTGTAAATATTTCTTACTAAATTTTGCTAAATAATTATAAAAGTATTTTGAACCTCTTCACTAAGTTCTTAACTGAAATTGTTCCCCTGCCTTTTCAAAATAAACCTTTCTATCTTGATTTGCATTTCAATCTATCTGTCATCTTCCCAACTCTTTGTAATCTTTCTCCACCTCATAAGAAAAATTATAAAAATTATTTTTCTGGGAGAGGAAATGTTTTGCCATGGATTAACTTTATTTATTTTCATTTTTTGCGAAATCAGTATGTTTGATGATGAGGAATCATAAGCTGGATTTTTAAAAGAGCTACTGAATTTGGGAAAAAAAATTGAAGTGTAACTTTGCATTTTATCCCAAATTTACCTATACTTGATATTTTACGCAGAAAGTTGTATGCAATAAATATTAGGGCATTAAAAAAATAACATCCCATGCAGCAGAGATAAGTATTAATTACGTGAAAATAACGTTAAAATGCCACAAGGTTTAGAGCAAAAAAACGTTTATTTAAAATGTTTTATTTCCGTTTCGAGTGGTAGTCTCGAATTAGGTAAAAAAGCGTTTATATTTGGGCTGTTTTTAACGTAAAAATGACGGATTTTTGCCGTTATTTTGACCAAGGTGAATTTCGTAACCAATTTTTAACGTATTTTTTAAGCTTTTTTCACCAAACTATTTACGTATATTTTTGGTTCTATAAATTTGTTATTTTCACCATGAATATTTACGTGTTTTTAACGCTTATTTTTATTAAAATAACGTACATTTTACGTTATTTTAACCAAAATACAAACGTATTTTATCCATACTATTTACGTATTATTAACGCTTATGTTGAGCTTTATTTACGTATTATTAACGCTTATATATCAATATTTTTAACGCTTATTTTGAGCTAGGTGAATTAATAAATTTTTCGCGTAAATTTAACTAAATTAATTTCAATTTATCGCAATTCTAACCGAATTGTTAACAATAGCATATTTTAAGTTTTTTTTTTTTTTTAACTAAGAAGGAACGAAACCATTCCGTATTTTAATGTTTACGCTGCACTAATTACACTAAAAAATATAGCATTTACTTTTTATTTAAAAAAAAACTTTTAATTCTTTTCGAACTAAAACTAAAATAACGGAAAATAGCCGATATTCATGTTTTTTTTTTAGAATCCTAGAAAAAGCTTTTGTTTTTAATCTCACACTTTCTGTAAATTTTTACAATTCAAATTATAACTCAACGAATATGGAATGCAAATCTTTCTACCTCTTCACAGCAGCATACTAGTTTATTTATGAAGTTTCATGTCCCTCAGGAATTTTTTACATTTTTCATTCCTAAAAGTTTGTAATATAAAGAATTGGTAGAAGAAAAAATTACTCAATACTTACATGATTTTCCAAACCCCTATGGAAAAAATTTTTTTTTTTTTAGTTTAAATTAATAATTAAGAAATCTACTGCTCTCCTGAAGTCCATGTTTCCAAATTGCTTGCTGGAAACTATCTACTCTTCTAGAATGCTTTTGGGTTCATTATTTTTTTTAAATGCATATATTTTAATTTTTAGCTTGAAAAATTTGACTAAAATTTACTTTAACACACACACGAAGTAAAAAAAATAATATTAACCAAATTTACCATTTGATTTGTTTACTTACTAAAATTAAAATTTTTCTAAGTCTTATGTTCGTAAAATTACAATTTTTAATCCAGAAGAGCAGTTAACTAAATAATTTTAAATACAGAAAAAAACATTAAATCAAATAAGATTTATTAAGTTTTATTTATTTTACAACTATCATACAATATATTTACAATATATAGATTTACAATTATAACACATCGCCACAGATCTGAAACATTCATAACTTCTTCCATCCTGTTGTTACTATCACCTCTTCACTGCAATGTTCCTGGAAAACAAATAAATATTTTAGCATATGAAAAAAAAAATATACCGGACCATAATATTAAATTGTTACAACCAACAGTAGATTTCTAAAACGAAGCAATACTGACTAAAAATATTAAAACTGTTTATTATTTTCATGGAATTTCTACTAAGTATATATCGAATGAGTACATCCAAATACTTAGATATAAGAAAATCTATTTTACAAATTTTAGTCACATATTACACGACAAAATTACATACATATACAGCACAAATCTGAATTAGAATATTTCATAATTTTTTTTTATCCTAACTAAATCTTACATTGAAGCCAGCAGTAAGTTATAAACAAAACATAAAATTATTTTTCGTGTGGCTTTGAGGAGAACTCCTCCAGACTTTTAGTCTGGTGCTGTTGGCTGCTTTGGTAATAAGTAAGAGCACATTTCTAATGGGGAAAAATGAAGGAATAAAGGTGTCAATTGGTTTACCCACGCTGAACTAAAATCAAGACAAAACTATTCACAAAACACTCCTATTTGAAATTACTTTTTCTCATAACCGCAGTACTTGCCACGACATGCGCCCATTGTCAGGTAAAGTACTCCTAAAAGTTGCCCTATACTTTCTGTTTATTTACTTATCATCAGAATTTTATTTTCCTCTCTCATTCTTTTCATTTTTTTATTGCTCCTTGGCTGCAATTTTCATTCCTCTTCAGAATATTTTGCAAGAACTTTGTAGTTCAGAAACACAATTCGATTAGTTTCAGTTACGTAATTTTTAATTTCTCATTTATTAAAACAGTAAAAATACTATGCCTTTTAACACTAACAGTATCTTTAATATACAAAAGGAGTAATTTTAACAAATTCAGTAATCTGTTAAACTATATATTATTTAGTTCAAGGGAAGAATTACATTTTACAATTGCCTCTGTTAAAGCTTTTTTAAACAAAAAATGGTTATTTTGAAAATTCTTTAATTTCTGGAAAATCGCTGCTAAAACGTAACAATTTACTCCAAAATACATTAGAAAGCTGTTTGGTGATATAGCAATTCATTTCCACAATGGAATTCTTAGTAATGGTGGGAAAAATAGGAAGGGTGGGAAAAATAGGTTCTGTGTTCCTTGACCCTAGTGTGTTACAATCAGGTTGCTTGGGGGCAGTAAAAACTTTATTTGTTTAAACCACTTAAAAAGGACGGGATAAAAAAAATTTCAAAAAAAAAAAAAAAACTTCACACACAAAACACAGTTTTTGGAGAAATATTTTAATAAATATTTCTTCGAAAAATGTGATTAAATGAAAGGAACACAATGGTGTTAGTTAATTGTAGCAACATGACAGAATGTTTGGAGTAATGCAGTATAGCAATTTTGGACTATAAAAACAATTCAGAGGAACAGCCTTAAACTTAAAATTGTTTCAAAAAATAATAATTTTATGCTTGGAACTAATTAGAAATTATCTTTTTTAATGCTGCATATATATATATATATATATATGAGCAAACAAAAATTACCAACTTTCCACACCCTTGCAAAAAAATAAAATAAAAATTTTTTTGAACAAGTATAGAGCAGATATATCAAAATTTTTTTAAACTTATTTAAAGATGTGAAAACAAATATATATTTTTTTTTCAAACTGTAATTCATATAGTTTGTAGTAGTGATAATTTCCATTGCATGAACTACTTAACTTACAAGTTTTCTGCAATATTAGACATTTAACGTAAATTTTACTTAATAGTTTTTGTTAAAATAAAAAGTTGGAACATAAGTATGTTAAATGTATACAGTAAAATGCAAGAAAATATAATAAATTAATGAAAACTAGTCAGTCTAACTCTTTTAGAGAAAAGTAAGCATTTTTTGCAACCTTGATATACACAATGAATCGGGTTTTAAAGCATTTTAATCATTATTACTTCAACACCAAATAATAAACATAAAAACATTCACTTGGAAAAATAAGATATTTAAATAAAAGATGTTTTCAAACAGTATGAAATCAAAAAATTTTTCATTTAATGTAAGCATAATAATATAGTGCAGAAGTTATTGAAAAAAAAACTTTATAAAAATAAAGTGATAATATCATAGACAAATATATCATATAAATAGAAAATATCATATGTATAGTCAGTCATAGATATAAAATCATTGATTAAAGTTAACAATATTGAAAGTTCAATTTCTAATATGCGGAATTGTAGAAAACTGCAGATGTACACAAAAAATATATATATATATAAACATATAGGACAATTGGCTTATTTTAATTAAAACAAGGATAATTTGAAATCTTGTGGCAGAATGTTTTTGAGCTATCTGCGACAAAACTCTCCAGCACTAAGATCTAATTGCAAAATACTTTTAATACAAACAAACATATATGTTGCTAATTTAAAATGGCAAATATGCTGTGTTAACAAAAAATAATAATAATGATTTTCTTAATTTAACACGAAATAATTTTTTTTTAATATTATGGGTGATATTCTCACATTTTGTTGGTGGGAAGACACACACTTTATTAGCTTCTTCGCATTTTGTAAATAATCATCACAATAAAAAAATATTAAATATCATGAAATCCGTAGTAGCAATTGCCCCCCCCCCAAAAAAAATAAATATATGATGCAATTACGTAGATTGGACTCCTCAAAAGCGTGTTACACTTTGAAATTAGGTTGTAATAAATAATATCGTATAAAAAATATCTGATTTAAAATTTAAGGTGAAATCAACATCTATAACTTCTAAAAATTCGATAGAATTTAAAAAAAAAAAAAATAGATAGCCTTAAAAAATAGATACTCAAATGCACGATTCGAGTTTTCCATATTGTTTAAATATATCAAGATGGTTAAGAACCAAATGAAAATCAATATCAATAACTGCCGAAAATACTATCAAAACATTACGTCGATTTATGATACTATCGGTGAAAATTGAGCGTGTCAAAAACTGATTATCTAAATGCATGATTCAAATATTGCATGTTCAAATATTTCTGTAAAAAAGAAAAGTAATATTTTCTTCTTTTCAAGAGAAAAATCTTTCTGCAAGAGATCTGTAAAATTTTGCAACAATGTCGCCGTTTCGCTGCGATTCTGCCACGGAGATTTGAAATACTGAGCAATATGCATAAATCTTAATTCCCCGAGAATTTCTAATTGATGTTGTTTATTCATTTTATAATTCATTTTAATGTTTGCCAAATGTTTGGTTTGAGTAGCCTTAGCCTTTGAGGGATTCATCAATCTGCATAATCGCTGAAGAATTCTCAAAAGCAAAATAGAAGTTTCAGAATTTGTTTGAACTTATGGAGGACTATGAATAAAAAGACTAATTTAATGCAGATAAAACACTTTTTTTTTTTAAGTGTCAGTGAAATAAAACATTGGAACAGCAAAAATAGTGGTGGTAAAAACAGTAACAGTTTACCATTCTACTTGATACTAACGATGAAACTTACACCAGAAACTTCTATTATAAATTAGTTGAATAGTGCAAAGGCTGATGATTGTGCATGAAATAATTAGGATTCTACAGTACATGGAAAATATATTTACAATATATGATAATTCATTTTAAGAGACAAATTTTTGAGTACTTTTATTTGTTGTTATTGAAGCATGGGCAGCCTATGTAAACAATGTTTAATTACTTTTTTTAATATCAGCAAAAGTAATCTGAAATAATTTTTAACAATTGATTTGATCATGTTTATAATTTCACGAATTTTTTTACCCATTTTTAAGCACAAGAAAAAAGGAAACAATTCAAATACAGTTATTTCTTTAGACATACTTAATTCAGGTACCTTCAAATGAGACTTGATGGAGGTTCATTCTCAAAGCTAGATCCTTTTCAAAGATCTTCCTCAGAAGTACATCAATAGATTATGAAAAAGAAAATTCATTCAGTTAATACGTTTAAAAACATAGAAATAATTCAAACATATTTTGTTTTGTTTATACGGGCACATTTATTATTCAGAACTAGAGAAGTAAGGAGTAATGGTTTGGCAGAATGTTAGCTAAAAAAAATGGTGAAATGCAGAATATATTTTTATAGCAATATTTTTAAAAAAAAAAATTCATTAATAAATATTTTTTACGAATAAATAAGTTTATTTATTATTGGAAATTACTCCATGCTTATCTATATTAGTGGAATGGGCTAAAGGGAAAACAAAAAACTAAACCAGAAATACTTAATAAAGTTATGAAGTAAAATAGAAAGAGAAAAAAAAATTATCATAATTGTTACAACAAAACTTCCATGCTAAGAATAATATTTTTTGTAAAGCAGTATCCATAAAGCAACATTAACTAAAATATAATCTATTAGAAATATGTTATTAAAATGCTGTGTTATCTTAAAAATGCTAAAAAAAACAAAAGATTATATACAAATGTAAAACAGAAAAATCTATTTTAATTCTCAAAATGAAATTTTAAAGCTTTACATCTCAGTCTTTCCAATTATCATATTTTCCAGATAAGAATAAAGACAATAGAAACATTCTTAATTACTGTGTCATACAGTTAATAAAAACAAAGTTTTTTAGAAATGTAAAAAGCTAGGTAAAAACCAAGACAAAAATTGTTTAAAAGAAAAATTTAGCAATAAAAATTTCAATTGAACTTTTTCACCTAGCAAGGGTCTGTCTAGGTTTTTCTGATAGGTACCTATTTTATGAAAATTTAGACATAATTTGTGAAAAATTAAAAACTACATTAAAAAATCAACACAAAAATATGGATTTATCGTTTCTTAAGGAATACAAAAATAAAATTATAAGAAAAAGTATTTTGTGAAACTAATGTTTTTTCTAAAGTTGAATTTGTGAAGGTACTGCTAAACGGTAGTAAATTTGGCCTTGACAGACCTCTGCCTAGGCATATTTTTAGAATACAGTGACTATAAAAGAATTAAAAAAGTTTTAAACAGCAATGTAAATTTAAATAAAAGCTTGAATAAGAATAATTCTAAAGATAATTTAATATTGAAAATTACTGCAATTATTTTCCATATCGTTTTAGCTGATAAATTTCAAAAACTGTTTCAAAAATAAGAAGAAAAATTTCCAGTAAATGTTCAACTGGGTTTTTTTTTTTTCTTTTTAAAGATATCATGTTGCAAAATAAATAGTCAAAAAACTATTTTGTCCATGTGAGATTTTCTCTTGCAATAGCTTGTTAAGATGATACTTCCACGACATTTTGGTTGAAGAACCATCTGCTATAGACTCTTGTAAAATTTACACCAATCAAGCGTGTTTAACCCTTGGTTCTTTAAAAAGGTAAAGTTAAAAGAAAATGCCACTACTCAACTTTTTTAAAAATGCAACAACTAATAGTTTTTATACTTTATAAGACAATAGTAGGTAAGTAGATAAGACAGCTCAAATTAATAACAATATGATAGGACTGTTTCACACATAACACTTGTCTCGTCTCATTTGCTAATAAAAATGCCATCTCGTACTGAGTAGGCAAAACAGTAAGAAAAATGCCCGTATCATGATCTGCCGGTGAATAATCACTATATCTTCTAAGCAACTTCCACGCAGCAACCAGGAGGAACTAAAAAAAATTAACGAACGGAGATCAACTTGAAGAGTATAACTCGTAGCTACCTTTCGCACACCTTTACATATTCTTTTAAAAAGTTAGCAGTTAGAAATCTATTTGGTGCCTGGACGATAGCAGTTGGCATAACTGCTCACAATACAGAAGTAACCCTAATAGGGAATTAAAAGTTTAATGAGTATTTCTATGTTGTTACCTATGGATAAATATTTATAAACTTCCAGCGGTCCACGAAAAATTAAGAAAATATCTCAGAATGGGAGTAACTCAGAGAATATAAGTTGAAGCAACCCTCAGGAAAACTTCTACATACTTCTTTTTAAATTTTTGCAAAGTACAAAATATATATTTTTTTTTTTGTTTCAACATTTTTAGTTGGCACAATCTAGTTCAAATAGGGAAACATCCCCTTTTATTTGATTCATAAAATCAGGGGAGATCTCTATAAAAGGAACAATGGCAGAATAATCAGCACGTCTTGGCAACTTCTGGTATCGGAGAAACTGAAAGAAAGTTAAAAAATCACAGAAAGGGACCAACTCGAAAGATATAACTCGTAACCATTTGGCAAACATTCATGTTTTTTTCAAAAAAAATTTCAAGTTTATATCTATTTGGTAGCTTGGCTATTGTAGTTAGTGTGACAGGTTAATATATGGAAATATCCCCTAAAATTAGTGAAACAGAAAAATTTACATTATAAATCTAGCTAAAATTCTTTTCCACTCCGGAAAATTAGTTTATCATCACCTGTGGCAGAATAATCAACAGGTCTTGGTAACTTCCAGTGGCTATCATCACACTGAAAACAAAACATGGGAAGAAACTCAACAGGGTATATCTTGTAGCCACTACCCCCTGGCAAACCTCTACAAGTTTTCTTTTATAAATGTATGCAAGTTTGAAATCCACAATAGTAGGCGCAGCAAATCACAGAAGGAAAATATCCCCTCTACTCATATTTTGGTGTGTAAAGTCAACCATGATTAATGACATTTAAGTATTATCTTCAGAATAATGCTTATAATTGTTACTTTTTGTTAATTGTTATTTATTATAGCAACAAAATTTGTCAGGTGAATAAAATAATGCAGCATTAATTTAATAATTTTGATAATTAAAGCTTTAAAATAGAATTTTTTTTTACATAAGATCGCAACTAGTTTAACTCAGTATTTCAGATTAATATTCCTTGATTAAGCTTAGGTACCATCAGAAAACTTTCCAAAAATTCATGATTTTATTAAAAATATCTTAACTGCATAACAATCGTATATAACGGGTCTGTATTTCGTCTCTTTACATTAAGCACAGTAAATGAGATTCAACAAATTCTCTTGCTTTTTTCCAAAATCGTTACGTTTTGTCATAGTTTGTTAAACTTCGCAAATGATAGGCTTAGAATATTTGTGTTTATTTCAAGCAGAATTAACTACAATAATTATTTACTTTTTTTGACAGTGAAGCATTATAATGAATTAACATTCTAAAATAGTAATAATTAAAGTAAGGAATAAAAGAACTTACCATTGAATTCGGCGTATGTAAACACACGCGTGCAACAATGTAAATAAATGTAGGGGTAGCTAGTGTAGGGGTAGCAATCCTTGTGTAGAACTTGCTCCCACGGAAAAGGAGTGAAAAGTTGAAACTTAGTATCGTTTAATCCACTTGTAAAACAAAAACTCAAATAACTGAAAGCAATGTGGAGAGTACTTTTGAATCTATATTGTTAATCAATTTTTTCTCTATTTTTGATTTTTCTTCTTATTTTTCTTATTATTATTCTAATTAAACCTGGAATAAAATGCTACATTGTAGAATAACTTTCATATAATATTTTTAAAAAAGTTAAATAAAACTGTCAAGCTTTTTTTTAAAAAATTATTACTATTTTACCTGATGACTTAAAGAAAAATGGAATTATATTGTTATGTAATGTTATTTTCATTACAGAGATATAATAGTATTTTATTTTTACTAGTATAATATTATTTGAATAGCTTGTACATTAAAAAACTTGATTTTAATGCTTTATTAATTTTCATGAATTCATAAAAATTGCTGTTTTATGCTCTGGAAATGTAAAATTATTATAACAATAATTTATTATTAAAAGATAAACATGAATAAATATTATAAATTAAAATCACTGATTCGTAAGACATACAAGATTATTTAAAATACGTGATTATTTATTTTAAAACTTTACACTTTTTTGCTTCCTCTAACCAGGAACTTCATATCCAATCGTTAGGAATTAGAGGATCGTACTATAGTAATTTAACTAAATGAGACATTAATTATGTTATATTTTAAAACTGTAAAACTAACAATATACTTTGATTTTTTTGTGCATCATATAGGCTGATCAATGAACCATAAATTGTAGGATTTCCATTTAATCCGAAATGAGAGTAAGAAAGATATTGTAGAATACATTCTACGTTAGGTCTTCCATCAAATCAAAAAGATTTAATCTAACTACATCCACCAAAGTAAAAGTTTTATCGATTAACATAATATGGGATCAACATGTACATTTATTTATCTCTGGTTAATTTTAATTATTATATCATGATTACATGTTATTTCTCAAATTTCGTGCTTATTTTTTGTTTTTCTCGTCTGCGTAGGTGAAGATTTTACATACATTACTTGGCATGCATAAAGGCATGGTCTCACGATTTAGGTTTCATTTTTAGTTGTTGGTGATGACCGTGTTAAAAATAATAGTTTGAAAAAATTCATAAAATATTTATTACATTAAAAAAATACACATTTAAATAAAAAGCACCTTTTAAATCACGATTTCATTTGGAGAAAAAAAAAAAAAAGAGGTAATATCATGGATTTGAAAACTTGATTATAACAATAAGGGTAAAAAAGGGTGTCAAGTTGTTAACATTTCTAGTGGATCAAGTTATTTTCATATAATATATTAAAAATTTTATATTTAATTTCAGCTGGAAGGATCCATTTTCGTTAAACGCTCCGTTTCCCTCTTCAGTGCTTTAGATAAAAAAAAAAAAAAAAATTCTTATGAATCTGTTTTTTCGCTTGCTGATATTTGTCTTCATTTTAAAAGCAATGTATGTATACATAAAAAAGATTTTGTTGAAATTGTATTCCCAGATAACACAGTGTAAACAGATTATGTGTCAACGAATTAATGAAGGTAGGAGTTTTAGTTACGTCGCACTAGAGCTGTACATTAGGCTTATCATCCATTTAGACTTAAATCTGAAGGGGTAGGAAATTTTCTCCAGATCCCTGTACATTTGGCACAGCAATGCGATCGACCACAGGCCTCTCGATTCCACAGATTTTAATAGCACATATATCGCATGTACTCGTTGGTGTCGAGGATCGAGCACCGCCCCCGTCAAGGACTAGAATGGCCCTTAAAACCCCTATTAACCGGGAACTAAGCTTAAATGAAAAAATCTTGTTCAAAAAACAAAGAAAAAAATTTGTCGCACTAATGTCAAAATATGAAAAAACAAATATTTAATTTCTCTCTTCTTTTTCTTGCTGTTGTTAATTTACGTCGCACTAGAGCTGCACAATGGGCTATTGGCGACGGTCTAGGAAACATCCCGGAGGATGATCCGAAGACATGCCATCACAATTTTGATCCTCTGCGGAGGGGATGGCACCCCCGCTTCGGTAGCCCGACGACATGCGCGCGAAGTCGAGCACTTTACGGTAGCACAGTTTAACGAGGACCCATACCGCACACCCTCGGTCCCTACGCACACTGATCCAAGTGGCACCCGCACACTGACCGCAGCCAGTGATGTTTGACTTCGGTGATCTGTTGGGAACCGTGTCTTAACGATCAGTCCACTACGGGACCTTTTTTTTCTTCTTAAAGGTGTTTTTTTTTTTTTTTTTTTTTTTTTTTTTTTNTCTATGTATTAGCATTGCAAAATTTAGGTCTTAACTTCAATTTTTGAGGAACTTTCTCTTTTCCTTACTTAAATCCTTTTCCTTTTTATTTATATGATCTAAATAATTAAAAACAATTTATTTAACTTCATTAACTATTTAAAACCTTCCAAGCATTGTGTCCCTAGGTAATTTTTTTCTAAAATTCCCTGTTATGTAACATTATTGCCCGATATGATTTAAAAAAAAAAAAAAAAAAAAAAAAAAAAAAAAAAAAAAAAAAAAAACAGACTATTCAATGCAAGAAAGCCTAAAACTGACAATTCAGAAAAATAAACCGAACTAACGCTCTAACTATTTTTAAAAGTACTTCAATTTCACATACACAAAAACTCACTCATAAATAATATTTTGCAAAGAAATAAAGAATTATCATTACTTGCTCTTATAAAAAAAATTATTTTTCTGACATTACAACAAAACTTACAATTATTATTTATATTTTATGCTATTTTATATTATTTTTTATATTTTATAAATTTATATTATTTTTTACTATAGTATATGATTTTCATAAATAATTTACTTATTGCAATTAAGATTTTATAATTAAGCAATTTCCAGATTATAAAATTCAAGATTCAAAGCAAAATCTAATAAATTTGTAAAAACGTTGTTGTGTGTAAAAACGTCTTTTAATAACAACCAATATTTTAAAACTTCCCACACTAAATTTTATTACGAAAACTAATTATGAGAATTATCTTTTTACCTGTCATTTGATATGTATATTTTTTTTCATTAATAAATATTATATACATTAAAGAATCAAGATTGATAAATTTTTCAAAATACTTTAATTCTATTTTTACAATTTATGAAGTTTTTGGAAGGAAAAAAAAATTAAATCAGTATTTTAAAATAAAGTAAATGTCTCTTTCATGCAGTAAGAACATGGAATTTAAAAGTAGACACATTTCTTAGCAATTATTTTGAAAAAACTTATATACGGTAAGCGATTATTGCAAAGTAAGAAATTAATAAATAAATGTTAACAAAATTAACCAAAAATAATCGTTTCTATTTCATGTTGATTGAAGTAGAAAATAATAATTAGAATATTGTATATTATAAATTATTTTTTATAAACTCGTATGGCGAGCGATAATTGCAATATAAAAAAATAGTGAATCAATTTTTACATAATAACAAAAAATAAATTTTTTAAATTAAGATCTTTGAATAATAATAATTATTAGTATTCGCATATTAACATCCCACTCTAGAGTAGGCTCGAACCTAGGACGCCGTACCCTTGAGGCGAACGCTGTAACCACTACACCACGACTCTTGTTCTGGACAGAGATAATTTAAATTTAAGTATAATGTGTTTTTACGTTATGTTCGTTGCATGTCAAGTAGTGGAAAATTTTTACTTTATTCAGTATTTTGGAAAATTTCTTAATTTTCATCATAGTTTAGTTATATAAGAATTAAAACTCATAGTTCCCTTGTCAGTTACTGATAATGAGCCGACTCAATATTATCAACAAGCAAATATTTATAACCAGTTTAATAAAACAAAAATAATTATAAGTATTAAAAATTAAATATGAATTGTAATGAAAATCTGCAATGTTCAGTTTATTCGAATTCAAGTGAGACGTAAAAGATTATCTTTCTTGGGCTCTCACAGGTTCATCATTTTTGCTTGAAACATTTTTACCACTAAATTTACGTTTATAATCCCAAACAATTTACGTAAATATAACTATGCAACAAAACGTCAATTTTTCGTTAATAACACGTTTTTAAAAAACGGTCAAAAAATGGATAAAATGTACACGTTAAAATAACGTATTTTAAGTACGTATTTTTAACGAATTATTTAAAGGGAAAATTGATAACGTTAAATTGACGTAATTTTAACGTATACGTTTTAACGAATGAAGAAATGGTGAAAATCATTACGTGAAATTAACGTAATTTTAACGTATGCGTTTTAACGAATGAAGAAATGGTGAAAACCATCACGTGAAATTAACGTAATTTTAACGTATACGTTTTAACAAATGAAGAAATGGTGAAAATCATCACGTGAAATTAACGTAATTTTAACGTAAGCCCAAAACCTTATAACGGACGAACGGATTTTTAACGTTTATTTGCCCTTTCATGCTGCATGGGATATTTACTGTAATGAAGGAAATAAATTAGATAATAATTTTATATTGAACTTTAAAAATTAAAAATTAAACTTTAGATTAGTCTTTAAACTTTAAAAAACTTTCAAAGCAATCGAAATATATTCCGATACAAATGAGTGAATTGCATTTCGTCAGGTAAAATGGAATATAAATTACTCTTTCTAAAAAGCAGTGAGGGATACGCTTAAAATATTAACGTTTCTTTCACATTATTATTTGAAATTTTATATTCTTTTAACAATAATTTATTCATGAAATTATACGATAATATCATTCATTAGTCTCAAATTAATTCGATGCAGATAAATATTAATTTTTGCAATCTTTTTTGAAGCAATAAATGTAAAGTTTTAAGGAGATCTTAAGCTATTGTCTCAAAATTGCAATCAAATTATTCCCTTCTCAACAAATTTTTAGGAAACTCATTTTCATAGTTAGTCATGTTTAAGTAAACTGAATAATTCAATCGAAATTTCTTTTTAATAACCTGTATTTTTAGTTTTTGGAATGATTCAAGCTTCTGCAATCAAATCTGGAATTATTTCGAGAAGTGATAAGAAAGATTTATTGCTGGTTAATCTCGAAACTAACCAACATGACTTTTAAAGTTACGGGATTCAAAGCTTGTGAAACTGAAACCGTGTTATTTTCAGTATCAAACTAAAAGGCTACGAAAGAGATATTTTTCATAAATGGTCCTTGAACTGAAGTTGAATTGTTATTTTTTAAGCTATTCTCGTGCATAACAAATTTTTTTTTTTTTAAATAAGCATTTTCATAACGGAGATTGTTTATCAATTTTCTCAAACAAGTCACAAAATTCTCGAATAT